GTTAACAAATACCAGAGAGAGAAAAAATAAATGTTTAAATTTGCTGCAAAATTACTTCAGTCGTTACACAATCTAACACATTTTATTTTGGGGAAAAGATTTAACAAGTTTCAAAATAAGTTTAATATTTTTTAATGTTTTTGACAATAACGGTCAGATTAAAGTTCATTAACATCAATGTCTAAACAGAAATATAATTATTAACAAGAGTAACACTTCTGTTCTATTAAGCTTAGATTTTTTTTGTTTAAATGATCACTACTTAACAAAATTATAATAATATATCAGAAATTCTCTTTAAAGTTTGTTTGTCACTGAAAGAAAAAAAAAGAAGAAGACAAAAAACAGATTTTGGCCCTTTAGACCAAAGGAAAGAGATGCAGCCAGAGTCCAGGGTGCCAGAAGGTGGCAGCAGTGAGTCGGGTCTGCTTTCTGTCTGGTGCTTCTCCCACTCTGAGGCTGCTGTGGAAAAAACATTCATTAAACACAAGATGTATGTAAACCTAACACTGACCAAGGTGATCTTTAACATTTAATATTAATATTTTATTTCATATTTTACTTTGAGATGCGTTTTAAACTATTTTATTACGATAWATAATTGTGAAAAGTTAATGTATCTTTTCAAAAACTAAAGTAGTAATTAAGATTCATGTTATTTTCTTACAAAAATCCTTTGTGTTTGTGTCTCTTTGAATGTTAACAGTGTGCGTATGCTCGAACCACTGCTCAAGCCTTTAGACACTTTTTCACCCATAAAAATGCCCCCGTTTTTGACTTACAAGTAAAATCAGAATATATTTGAGTTTGTATCTTCATCTTCACATTAAATACGATTTTGAACAGATTGTGGTTCATTCACAAGAGTCAAACTACAAAATAAAACTCTAATGTAAACTTTGTTTCTGCTGATAATTAGAAGTTTTTCCATTGAGAGAGATCCAAACATAATTTAATCCTAATTTAAATGTAACGAACACTTCCTCTGGTGCTCACGTATTCATTTAGTTGGAGTTCTTAAATGTTTTGTCTATTAACTCCTTGCACATTTTCAGTGAACGGTACAGCATTCAGTTGTTATGTAAGACTGGGCCTCATTAGTGACAGCCAGTCTGTTGTGTTCCTGTTTATGTTGTGTGTGCACTCGCAGGTTAAATATGCTCTAATTGTTGACGTATGTCAGTGCTGTGCTGAACCGGCAGCTCCACAGGCAGGAGTTTATGGAGTTGTGGGATTGAGAGTCACCACGAGAGGGAGGGACTTAGGCAGCGGTACAATGCTGGTGTTTGTGCAACGGCCACTGAGTGGCGGCTGGTCTTCTCGCTTGACTACCGCCGCTGCAAGCATTGTTTGGGAGGAAAGGAAAGTGGACAGCTTGATCCTGTGCGTGGGATGCATCAACAAAGGTAAGAGGTCCCTGTCATGCTGTGATGTTTTTAATTTAGGATTTTCAGACTGTCTCGTGACGTTTGTGCCGGGTAAAGTGTGTGATCAGTCCAGTTTTGGGAGAAGCTGGAAGTTGGCTTGGTTTGAGGCACCCTTGCCTGTGTTTTGGCAGGATCACCACTGTGTGTGAACGGAATGAAAAAGAAAGTTTTGCAGAAAGCGGCCCAGTGAAATGCATGTGCAGAATGTAATTAGGCTTCAGTGGTGGGAAAAAAAGATGAAGATAAATAGGAATATACGACCCAATGATAAATTGCTGAAGTGCTGATGCAAGTCCAGATCAAGACAAGAAAATATTGTTTACACTATTCCCTGAGGACAGACAGAAGGTTTACAGMGGTAAAAATAGAGACAGAATGGAGGGGAAGAGATTAAAAGAAAGAGATTAATYAGAGAGCTGAAAGAAGAGGAAAATCAGAAGAGGAAAACTAGAAAAGTGGACAAAAGTGACAAGGCAGGCATTAAAAAAGCAAGAGAGATCAACCCAAGATAATTGCATCACACACTCTTCTCAAGTTTAACTACAAACTGAATAAAAACCAAGCACAAAACTAAATATCTTTTTAAACTTTGCTTCAAACATTCTATTCAGTTCTTGTAAAAACTGAATTCCTAAAGCTCTGACACACCCATCACTCTTAGTTCTGCTCCCTTTGTTCGTTTAAGTCCTTTTTAGCTGACAGAATGTCTGATACTTGAGTACATGCTGCCATTGAATATTTACACTAGCTATAATAAAAGATAGTTCATTTGAGGTTTGAGACTAATGTCATATAAAACATTATTTTTAATGCAATAAATCTGTAATAGTTGTATATGTTTTGTGCACGCAGACAGAGGGAGAGAGCTCTGATTTGATGTGGAAGTGTACCAAAGCAGAAAAACTGGTCACAAGACGCAGATACAGAACTGGTCTTTTGTATCACATAAGGGGTCATCCACGCCTGGACTAACTGGGACAAAAAGAAGACATTCCTGTCCCCCAAAATTAGAAGAAGCTGTGAATTTTATCTGTGGTCTGAGTGGGCAGCCGAGGGCTGCGCTGTGGAGGGGGACCGAGGGCAAAGACGGGGAGGAGTACAAGGACGAGAGGAGCAGTGAGCCAGAGCGAGGAGCTCCAGAACAACCAGGATGGGAGAAAAGAAAGTGAGGTAAATGGTCTTTTCTTTTTGGTTTAGCTTGGTCAAAACAATTCCAATGAATTAAAACATCGGCTGCTTTAAATCTGGTTCCGTGAAGTCTTTCATACATGTTTTGTGATTTAATAAATGGTTCCGTTTATGCACCTGTGTGCTGTTGATCCCTTCGCAGTCTCCCGGCTAAGCTGATTAATGGGGGCGTGGCGGGCCTGGTTGGTGTGACATGTGTATTTCCTATTGACCTGGCAAAGACCCGCCTCCAGAACCAGCAGGGCGTCCAGGTCTACAAGGGAATGTGAGTGGGGTTTCCCCAGCTACTTTTAATCTGTCATTGTTATTGATTTGTCTCATGAAAAGTCAGATATTGACTTTACTTTTATTTTTTGGTACACTGTCATGACTGAACGTGATTGTTCATGTAAAGTTTTGAACAAGAACCTTTTCACAGTATTAATCACAGATGTTAAAAGACAAAGGCTCAGTGCAGTTTTTCCATTTTCTGGAATTTGACACAACATGGCTGCAAGCCACAAGCAAGCATAGGAAAAACAACTTTGGTAGATCCTGTTATCTCCATTCAAGACATCCTCACTAGTTACCAATTAAAGTGCCTGTGACATCATTTTTTAATAATAAATATGTATGTATTTTTGGAAAGATAACATTGACAACATATTGTAAAAAAAAGATTTCACGCCGCTGAGATAAACAGTTACTGAGATATTTGCATGTGAAGTAACAGGAAGTGATGTCAAAGGGGAATGTCTGCACGCAAACAGAGCATTGCTAAAATGGCTAACAGCACAGACTGTAGAGAAGAATCTGATGTTTCTTCAGATTATTTTAATCGCTATCATGGAGAGATAGGAAAGAGTCACAGTTCAAATATTGTTTAAATGAACAAAAAACAGGGAGTTTTCTTGCTCAAAGAGTTCCCCTTTGATGTCACTTCCTGTTTCCATGCCAATTATGTGACATAATGGATAAAATCAGGTGTATTAAGCCAAGTTTCTTAAATATAAATATATTTCCTTTGACTTTTTGTATTTCATGGACATGCACGTCACAGCTACTTTAATATGCTGGTTGTAGAATCTTCCAGAATAATAAGTTGGTTAAATTTGTTGTTTCATTTCTCCCATTTATTAGGAGAATTTAGACCTTAAGGCCATAATAAATGTATAAATACAATGAATGTACTGAAAACACTTTAAAAGTTGTCTTCTTTGTAGTTGTGTTTGATTTTTATTCTCACATATGTTTCCTCTGAATCTCAGTGGTGGAACAAGTTTTGGGGAAAAAAAAACTTTGAGGCCTGCTAAGCTGCAGTTAAATTAACTTAAAAATATTATAACTTATACTGTTTGTGACTAGGATGTTATTTAAGACAAAAATAAAAACAAAGAGACAGACTCCGTGTCCTCAAAAGATGCAGCGACCCTGAACTTTGAACTGCACACATCTGAAGAGCATCAATACTGTGGCTGACTGGGCGGGGTCATCCTGTTTGTGTTCACCAGCCTGTGGGTTTTTCCGCTCTGAGTCATGCATGGAAAATGAATTCACTAACTTCTCCCTTCCACTGTGAGACAGTTTCTCTTTCCAAATTAAAAGAGCATTTTAAAGTAGCTTAATGTTACTTTTCAAAGCTTTCAGCTCAAAATAAGTGCTTAAAAATAAAGAATTATCATTTTGAATCTGTACTGTTCTGTGAACACTGTGAGGAGGAACATCATGCATGGTGTGAAAAAATACATAACAAAAACAATAATTGTTTTTCTGTTTTGTCTTTAAAGGTTTGACTGTCTGGCTAAGACTGTCCGGTCAGAGGGGTATTTTGGCTGCTACAGAGGTATCATTTGCATATCTAATCCATGTACTGAGCTGCTATAAATGTAATCTCCTCATGCTTTCCACAAGCCTTAAATTATTTTATCATGGTAACAATTAAATGCTGCTGTTTAAACTCAGTATTAAGCACTAAGCTGTCTGCTCTTTGTGTTTGTCTTATGGGAAACTTGTGTCGCTGCCATTAGCTTGTTTGTTTTCTGCAGGTGCAGCAGTGAACCTCACATTAGTTACACCAGAAAAAGCAATCAAACTGGCAGCCAATGATGTCTTCAGGCAAAAGCTCTCAAAAGATGGGTAAATTTAATTTTTGAAGTTGCTTTAATAAATTCTTGAAAAGTCCCTGCTATGGCACCGACTCACTGTTACGGATGCTACTCAGGCATTTGCCCCTGTGGGCGGAGGTACTGGCTGGGTGTGGGGCCGGGACTTGTCAGGTGGTGGTCACGACTCCCATGGAGATGCTCAAAATTCAGCTGCAAGATGCAGGAAGGCTTGGTGAGTATGAGTTTTAAACATTAAATTATACTGCCGCAGTGCTGACAAAACTCCATCAGGATGTGTTTTCTAACCTGAGATGGATTTATGTTCATCCATTAGCTGCACAAAGACCTGCGCCTGCTCCGGCTCAGGCTGCGGCTCCTGGTCCTGCTCCATCAATCGTAGCCCCGCCTTCTCAAGCCCAACCAGCTCGTCCTCAGAGGACCTCGGCCACGGGCATCACTGTGGAGCTTCTGAAGACTCGTGGCTTGGCGGGCCTCTACAAAGGGGCAGGAGCCACCTTAATGAGGTCAACACACACAGAATATTATGAATCWCCTCTATTATTATTACTGAGCTGGTTTTAGATTATATAACTGCAACTGGGTTTGCTGTGACCAAACAATCAATAGAGTCCTGCAGCTATGTCTGCTTTTTGTACTGTTATTSAATTGGTTCATCACTCATGACTTCACAGTCAACTTTATTTCACCTTTATTTATCCAATATCTGATTATTTCATCAACCCAATCAATAGTTCTTCTTTAAATTGCCTTAAAGKGTCTGTGACATGCTTATCCTTCAAACACAAAAAGTCAAAGAAAACATTTTTTATATCTAAGAAAATTTGCAAAGTACTCATGATTGTACTCATTTTGTCTCATAACTGGCATAYTTTCTCTTGAATTTGGCTCAGCAAAGTGAAACAGGAAGTGACATCAAAGGGGAACTCTTGAAGAAAGAAACTCTCTAGTCTTTGTTTATTGAAACAATCTTATTTAAACTCTTCTTCAGCTCTGACAGCGACTCAAAATAATCTAAAGAAACATCCGATTCTTCTCTAATATTGTAGCATCACTCTGTTTACCTGCAGACATTCCCCTTTGACATCACTTCCTGTTTMTTCACATGGAATTATCTCAACAACTGTTCATCTAAACGGCGTGAAATTTGTTTTGCAATATGTTATCAATGTTCTCTTTCCAAAAACGCATTCACATTTATTACAAYAATTCGACGTCACAGGCACTTTAAACCCACCTTCTTTCAAACTGATGCTTTTCTCAGGGATGTCCCTTTCTCGATGATCTACTTCCCTCTGTTCGCCAACCTTAACGCACTGGGSCATAAAAGTGCAGGCGGCCACGCTGACGTGCAGGCCCAAGCACCGTTCTGGCAGTCCTTTGTGGCRGGCTGCTCCGCTGGATCTGTGGCAGCTGTGGCTGTCACACCGCTGGATGGTGAGTCAGTCAGAAAGAGAAATGCAAAGGTAAAGCTGAGGGTTTAAATGTAAAGATATCAAGAAGCAGAAGTGCCATGGTCCAATAAACAAATCATTTAATAATTAATTACATTTTATAATAATGACTTCAAAGTTCCAGTTTCTTAAAACGAGGTTCTGTGAAGAGGTTGTGAACATTCAGCATCTTACCTGTTGCAGATAGTTCTTTACATGACTTCAAATAGAAAAAGCAAGATGTCTTCAGTTACTCCAGCAGAAATAGCCCCAAGCTGCACAGGAAGTGCTTCAACTAGCTGCTGCTGCTCTCTCTGCAGCTAAACAGTTATGTCGTTGTTATTTCGGCTGTTCCCTTCTTGAGGGGTCGACACAGAGWGCAAACTTGCAAGATTTGGAAATTGCTTTATGCCAAATGCCGCTCCTGACATAACCCTGGCTCAAACCTACAGCCTCCGGTTTGAAAGTTCAGTAATGAGCATGAGTGGGGGAAAAAAGATTTAAAAAGTTAGAACTTTGTGTAAAATGTAAATAAAAACAGAAAGAAACCTAATAAACCCGTATTTTATTCACAATGTAACATAATGAATGTTTAAACTAGAAAAAGAGGTTTTGTTTTTCTGCCCTCTTTTTTTTCTGTTGGAAAAATATAATAAGATTTTTTATTACACCTAAAATTAAAGGGAGGATCATTGTCGGTGCAGCAACCATGTTGGAGAGCATGCAGAGCTAGATGTAGATCATTCATGTCTTTTGACAATGTATAAAACAAAAAATGTTATTGGAAAGTTGTTTATAAATGGTTTAAAGAAATATTAGCTGCCCAAAACAGGTACGGTCATAAATTTGGATTATTTATCAGAAGGTAACGTTCCAAATAAAGACCGTGACTTGGTTAAAATGTTATTGGCAGTGACCAAGAAAGCCATCACTTGAAAATGGGGTAACGTTGACCCCCATCTTTAAACGACTGGATGAACATAGTGGAGGAAATTCACAACATGGAGAGATTTACATTCATTTCAAGACTACAACAATAAACAGCTGAACAACTGTGGGGAAAAATGGAAATTTAGAAACCTTTATGGGAACTATTAACACCTTAAGACTGTAAGTTGTCTGTCACTTTTTTGTTTTATTTTACTTACATTCATTTTTTTTGTTCTATATTATGTAACAAAGGGAAACAATTGTAAGTTTCAGAAAAAAAGAGGTAGTATTGAAAAACGTTGAATCACTAAAGATTATTTTATGCACTAAATGGCAAAAGTGTAACGAGACGGGCACAGATTTCTTTAATTGTTTATTCTTATTTTAAATATTCACGCAGTAATCAAGACCCGTCTTCAGACTTTGCAGAAAGGAGAAGGGGAGGACTCATACAGAGGAATTCTTGACTGCACAAGGTGGGTGTCTAAGAAAGAAGCCTCAAGTAAAACATATACTGCTTCTTCTTCTCTTTCATTACTCGTGTCTGTGTGTTTTTCAGGCGCATCATGAGGCGAGAGGGCCCGTCGGCCTTCCTGAAGGGCGCAACGTGTCGTGCTTTAGTCATCGCTCCCCTTTTTGGTATCGCGCAGGGCGTTTACTTTCTCGGGGTAGGGGAGGCAGTTCTGGGTTTGTTGGGCTAACAGTGACTGGTGATGTCGATTGCGTAGCTCCTGTGGAAAATACCACTCTGCTTTCATCTGCGCAGAATAGTTCACACGATCGAGAAAACTTCCACTAACCGAAGGAGAGATTATTAAAGAGGTTATTTTTACTAAGAAGTGGACGAGTTCACACTATTAATTCATTCTTTAGGTTTTTACATTTGGTCTGCTGGGTTCTGTCGGTTCAACGAGGTCCGGTGTGTGCAACGAATCTGAGAGTACAGCATGTGCTCAGAATCTATTAGCCAGGGTGCTGCTTGGTGCAATAGAATGTCTGAGCCTGCTTCTTTCACCTAAGGGGGGATTATTCTGTCTGGCTGTAATGAAAGAACTCTTGTATGTGATTTATGAGGCTGCTAACTAAAATGCCTACCTGATCTGACCTCTGGTTTGGGCATCATTTTTACGGGACGTGAGACATTTCTCGATCAGTTTCGAACATTACTTCAAGCAGGTTGGGGGGTATTTATCCTCCAAAGCCAATCGTTTCGGTTTTATCGTGACATCTCCTCTAAAACAGAAACCAGCCACCTGCTTACTGTTATGCATTCCTCCCACTCCTTCCTGTAGGTCAGAGTTGTAATCTTTCCCTGGACTGGGAGGAGCTCTCTGTCAATCTCGCTAAGGTCTTTTGTTAATCTGATGGTAATTCTTTAATCCCCGTGATAGCATACGATACACCTCCAAACACGGCTCACTTCCTGCTCAGAGGCCACAGGTTCGATTGCTGAGCTACTCTCGCTTTGACCTTCCCAAAGCTCGTCAAAGTTAAAGTAAAATAAATATGTTGCTTCGAATGATAACTGAAACTAATGCAATCAACGCCTTATTGTTACTGACAGTTTGTAAAGCATCAACACTTTAAGTCTTAAAGGAATCGATGTAGCGAAGACAATTCTAAGTGTTAGGCCCAAGGAGGAAGTAAGGCAGCTTGTCCCGCTAACCGGTATTACTCCAACCCACAGGTTGACACTAAAAGCTTATTTTTTTGTACTTTTTAATACAAGACAGATTTTTGATGTGGCTTATTGTCCCTAGGCTACTACATTTACCTCCATTGTAGAGAATGTAGCCTGAGAAAACTGTTTACAAGATGTAAATAAAGATATTACAAACTTGCTGAATTATCTGTGTCATCATTTTGCTTTTTTTATTTTAGAGAATTGCAAAAAGCAATGATATAAAACACACATGCACACTACCTTTCTTTGGCTTAATTCACAAAAGACAACAGAACAAGTAAAGACATCTTTGGTATGCAGCTTGTTTTTCCACATTTTAAACTTAAAGCTTCAGAGCAAACACTTTCAGTGCTACTCCAGTATAAAGTAGTTGTCCAAACATATCTTAGTGAGGTAAGTGAAAGGACAAAGCATTACTGTGTTCTTAAGCAGAACAGAAGTTTATAAAAATAAACAAAAACAGCCCTTTTAAAGTGTTTTTCGACCCTGAAAATTGCCACGTGGTTCTGCCGGCTCTTGTGTTCCGTAACGGTGWTCAGTGGTCACCTTAAAGCTTCCACATGTGTCCAGAGTTTAAATACACCGTTAATCCAGGAACTTACGGTTAGGGTTGGCACCAAATAACGTCACTCTGATTTCAGGCATCATCTGTAAGGGAAGAGGTAACCATACCAAGAAGATCCATTGTTATTTCATTAGTATTTGAAACACTGAGGCTTTTACAGCACTATTTTCTATAAAGTTGGTACTTTTTGATAGTAAGCGAGATAAAAACATGTAGAAAATAAATATAAGACTCAGAGTTTATCAATTACTAACATCATTACTCATTTTTAATAAAAATATCACTATTTTTAAATGAATTAAATGTATCCATCCGAAGCCTCAAGTATTTTTTTACTCTGTTCTTCAATCAAGCCAACAAAGGACAGAATAAAGCTGTGCTGCCCCCTTCAGGTGAATGTCAAAAACTGCATTTAGGACTTTTAATAAACAGCATACTCTGCACATTTTCATACCTGTTGTGCCATAAGTTCAAGCCTGCTCTCCAAAGTGTTGGAAACCTTGATCTTCCCGTTGTCGTTATACATTTCAATTCCTCCGCTTCTGTTAAAACAAAGAAAACAACCGTGAATCTGATGAAACAAAACCATTTCTAATCTTGAAAGAAATGTCAAAGGATAAAAGTAAACTTTTAATTACTGTTCATCAGCCAGTCTTACATTTCAGATGGAAGAAAACGATCCTGGTCAAGTTTGACAGTTATTTTCATCTTCACCGCTTCTTGGTAGATGGGAATGTTCTTATTAACTGCAGCCTGCCGGGTTAGAGAGCAGGAAGCATCAAAACCCAGCTTGTCATGCATTGAAAAGCCCATGTTTCACATATGCAGTCAACTTAATCTCACCTGAACCATTTCTACATCTTGCTGTCGGCAGCGGACCGTTACTTTAGGCTCGAGCAGTTGGTAAAACCCCTTAAAAGGTTAATAAAACAAAATTTAACTTTGAAAACAAACATAACTAACTAACTGGTTGATTTATTATCATTTTTACACAGCCGAACTGGATATTTTACCTGAAGCACCAGGCCCTCCAACAGTTTGGAATACCTGTCAGGGTCCTTAGAGATCTCTGAAAGTCTTTGACGAGCCTCATTTAGCAAATCCTTAAATAAACACAAACAGAAGAAGAAAGTCGGATAAACCCAGAGTTATTGCAAATCATTTACTGTCAATAACGCATGATGTGTAAACGTTGCTTATCTCGGGTAAATAGTAGTAAATTGCTATAAACAGGGGCACACATGCCTTTTATTGACATTTTTATTAAGTTAAAGAAGCCRTGTAAACGCATCGTTACACCTTTTTTTTGCGTCACAGAAGGGCAAAGAAGCAAATCTGTGTAATTCATGAGCGCAGATCTCTCACCGTGACCATGTCATCTCGAGCCTTCAGCACCTTCAGCCTCCCTTGGTTCTTCAGGTTAGACATTTGACTGAGAAGAGAAGGTTCCTGTTACTTTATCAGCTTATATGAGTGGATCTGCTTACYGGTTTGTAATCAGTTATAGTTCATTTCCAGTTTATGTGCTTCAGGGCTACGTTTATGAGACTATAGTTGATATTCATTGTGTAGAAATTGCAAATAATGAAGTCAATTTTTTTTTATTTACCTACAAAATGATCAAGCTTTTATGAGTAACCCCTTGTGGTCACTTTAAGGTCCAAAAAAATGATGGGACTCCACACAAATTTGTCAATAAATGACCAACAACTCACATCTTCTTATGCTGCTCAATCTGCTTTTCTTTCTTCTCAAAGTAATCCATGATTTTCACTCTCTGCGTCTGCACCAGACGACCTTTCTCAATGTTGAATTCTTCCTCTGCCTGCAAACAAATGTTGGTTCATGTTGGGTCCACCTCACAAGACTGACGACCAGGCCTCAATTACCTTAGCGTCGATTTCCTCAACTTTCTCATTGGCTTCTTGCTCAATGAAGGCCATCATGTGTTTGATCTGCCACAAGAGTAGAAATCAGTTGTTTGCATTTAATAATGTGGGGAAAATGTAAATAAATAGTACAATTAAATTAAAATTACGTTTGCTGACTTTGTAAAATAAAACACGACCCGCTCAACTACAGCTTTATAAAAAAAAAACCTGGCAAAACACAGACTTCAAGTTGAGAAAAGTTCAATTTATTAGTTTCAAACACACAAGAAAAGCTATATCTATATTAACTTGTTTTAATTCGTAACGCTGTAAAATCGTCGCCTGGGTTCATTTGGTTCCGTTAGCTTTTAGGGTTTGTTTTGTTTACATTAGATATTAAACACAGCCGGAACTACTTTAACATATTTACCTGTTTCTGTACGTCAGCGTCGGTGAGTGCCATGTCTATTGTTTTTTGGAGTTTTGTTATTTTTAAATCTTAAATAAGTTTTCAGCGCCCGCTGTAACTTTGTGGCGAAAGAAATCGTAACAACGTCAAGAACAGACTGACGTTTTTTTTTCTTCTTCTTTTTTTCTAATCGAGCTTGTTACAGAAGACTTCCGGTCAGCATTTTCAAAATAAAAAAAAGTTAAATATTTGGCAACAAAATAGTGCATTGCCTTGCATGTTTATTTAAATCTTTATTCGTTAGCGCAATTAATGCTACATCTAGAGTTAAGAACATTTTTTGAGGAAGTAATTTCATTGTAAAAATATATTTTTATTAATATTATTTTGCGGCAACACATCCTGTAAATATCGAACTTGCACGTTGAACTTAAGTCGTGCTCCAATGGTTGCAAGAATATAGAAAAAAATRTCCTTTATTTTTATATAATAAACGCAATTTTTCAAATAAAGTTTTGCGTTCATGTTTAATGATGGGTGTGTTATTTTGAAGGGTGCCCCGGGAACACCGGCGGTGTCTGTTTGATGGTTCTGTTCGTTCGGAGCACGTTGTGTACGTGAGTTGTGCGCCAGTCAGAGTGGGTCCTCGCATTTTCTCCCCACTGCTACGGGTTACACACTGTTGTTTCGCATAATTTCCTTCAGGTTGTCGTTTGTCAGCGCCTAGTTGCCTTCGGAAAAGGACGGTAAGTAATGGACACTTACTGGGCTTTAGTGAAGTTATGTTAAAATGAAGTTTCCTGTTTCCTGTACGTGAACGTGCTATCTGTTAAGCTAGCTAACATAAGTTGCACGTTGGCTTCGGTTTATGGTAGTATTTTAAAATAATAAAAAAAAAAAGTTTTCTTTGAATACACATGTCCAGTCCGTTGCATAAAATTACCAGAGCTCCTGTTAATTAAAAACAAGCAATATCGTAGTGTAGCTAAGTTTTATGAAAACTTACTGAGCTGCTTTGGTATTACAATTAGAATTTCAAAAATGGAAACGAATGATGTGTTTTGTTTTTACTTCTATATAATAGAGCAAATGGTTTTACTTTGACAGTTCCACCCGGAAGTCTTATTAATTTGGCAAACTTGACTGTAATGGAAGTTTTAGTCCTCATGATGGTGTCATCTCATTTTAGATGGGCATTGATGGCAAGCTTAGGCGTGACAGAAGACTAAAACAAAAGTGCAGTACAGTGATAATTACATGTGGTTAATAAGATGTACTTGCCCTTTAATACATGGGCATAGCGTGTCTCCTTGAACAGAGGGCAAAGCCAATGTGAAACTGATTACCACATTTGTTTTATATAAAAGCTGCAACAGATAAATGTCACGAGAAACCAGTAAAGATTTTTAAAACCATTTCCTAATGGGCACTTTTGAATCATCTGATCAAACAGAAAGTTTTGATCATCACAGTAATAGCTTCTTTTCTGTCATTTTTCACAGGCGACACGTCCAACGTTGACTCTTGATGTGCCTGATAGTCTTGACACACGTCTAATCAATGGCGACGTCGGACCCCTCCACTTGTGCCTCAGTCAGCGCCGCTGTGCCTGCAGGTTTTCACTACGAAACCAAATACATTCTGCTGAAATACCTGGGAATGCTGCCTGTCGGGAGATCACAGCTGCCAACAACAGATCCAAGTGAGAGGGGTGGGTGTTTGGTTGTTGCATTCACGTAGCGCTCTAAAACAGTTTTATACTTGTGCACGTGTGGCTGTAACCCAAAGTATTATCAGTGTGTAGGCATGTAGCCACCTGTTTTAGCTCAACTTGGCTCCGACTTTAACATGAAAGTGCATTCAGATGACTTTAATGCAGCTCCACGTGCTTAAAAACAAATGAATGTGTGAGACAACACGCGTATAATCTCTGTAATATTTCATTATGGTTTCCAGACTCTCTTCAGATACTTGTATTGAAACCCTGTGCATGACTTTAGGCTTTAAATATTTTCTTTTATCCATCCTGTCCCTCTTGTGCATGGCATTCTAAAGACCAAGATCAGTGTGTTTGTTGATCACATGTCCACACAGTTCATCTTTTTGAATTCTCACTCTCAAAATAATAAAAAAAAAAAACTAATGTGCATCTTATGAAACTTTCTTTGTGCAAGAATGTTCTGGTTACTCATTATTTTTGAATGCAGTGTGAAAAACACCACGCACAAAAGCAGTTCTTGCAGAAAGATGATTTTATTTCTTGTCTTTCTTTGCATAGAGTAATCAGAAWATATGCTCAGGCATTCAGAAGAACTTAAAAAAACACTGTGGGAGTTTTCTGTACATTTTTGTTGTGCATGTTTAAAATGCAGCAAAGAGGGACTGATGACTGTCTGATCCCTGCTTTCCGCTTGACCCGGTCCAATTTCTGACAGCCTGTCATGTGCAATCACTGTAGGATTACTYGCACGCCAGTAGGCTGAAGCAAAATAGTTGTCTGCCTAGCTGTCTGGCTGCGTGCTGACGCTGCAAAACGCCCAGGAAAAACCCTCTCTGATCCTCAGGGTGTTCATACAAGCTGAAGGGACAAAACACATAAAGAAAAAAAAAGTGGGGGGGACAAAAATAGTATTTATTTAGGATCAGGAAAATGTTAATTGTTTTGCTGTTAAATCACTACGAAGTACTGAGATGTTTCAAACTAACAGAACCAGAAGTCATCAGCACATCCAAGTGGAAACAACCAATGYCTCTGAACTGGATGTGTGAACAACAACAAATATTAACTCTCAGTTTCAAAAGAAAACAGAGTCATTCCAGACTGAATAGTTTCCAGCATGTGTTTTGCTAAATTAAAAAAAAAGTCCTTGATATGTGCTGGTGCATTTTCCTTTCTGCCTTTGCAGAGTTTATTACATCCCCAGCAGTGTAGACTCAGTTTTGCAAATAATTTACTTCCTCATAAGCTGTGTAGTCGTGCCTTAAATCCACACAATTTCAAGGTTATTATTTCTTTTTTTTTTATTCTGGTTTGTGCTTTAAAATATAATGAAAGAAAATGTATTGTATATGGAAAGACATATGTTAGTTGCAGCTAACTTTAAAAAGTTACTCGTTCCTGCACAAACCGTGATGTTTACGCAAGCTTGCCCAGTTGATTGTTTGCAAACTGTGTTTTAAGTGTTTTTATAATGATGCAGCTATCTGAGACTTGTCATTATKGAGTCTACAGATGTTTAACTTTACTAAACTTTACCCTTAAGATCTATTTGAAAAACTCGTTTTATTTTATGTGCAAATAAAAAGTCTGGTTCTGTTTATCTATTAGATAAGATAATGTTGCTGTTGATATTTTCTTTTGTGTCATTGGTATTTTTAGGATAAATATATATTAAAAAAAATAATGAATGTGAGGTCTGTATTTTACCATTTCTGAAATTGTTTTGTTTCATTGTTTTTGTATTTATCTCTTTCAGGAGATGCCCAGATTGAAGAGAGGGTCCGCAGGATAAAAGAGGAGATCGATGAGGAGCTGAGGCAGCTGGAGGCAGAATTTTCWGCTTGTAAGTTGTCACAATCGCACACTTCTGTCTCACAAAATGTTCATTTGTTTCAACTTAAGAACAGTGGACGCAGTAGTCACGGTTTAAATTTGTGTGGAAATTTGCAGCTTTTTTTTACATCATTCTTTATTAATTTGGTAATAATGTGTTTCTGTGTAGAAATATGGATATTGTGACAAAATACTTTTTATATAACCACAGCTGTAGACGGATTATTGCATAGCACCATCTTTTCGCATGTTGAGGAATGATGAGAGAGGATGGATGCTTTGGTCAATCTCTCCATTTTATTAGAATATTTTCTTTGACATTTTACAWAAGCTATGAGGATGAGGCGCTAATTCTAAATGTATTATATTAACATTTATTTTTTTCCCACACCAAAGTTATTGTTATTTTTGGCTTGTGGCAGATGGACTTCATTGCTTGCCTGCTCTGTGTTCTGTCCTGGTTTCAGCCTTTCACAGCACAGGGTTTGACACCAACCTGTCACCGGTGTTCGGTCCAGAGAACTCAGTAGAAGACTGCCTCGCCACCATTGGAGACAAAATGGTCCAGGATCTCGGTACACACCTAGGTGCAGCTGTCCAAACACTCCTCACCGAGTGAGTATGCAGAGCCGTGACTATATTTGCAAAACTATTTCACATTATCAAGCTGTGCTGGAACAGATAATTATTTATAGAAAACTTCACAATGGTGTTGCTAAATTAGCATTTCTCACAAGGTAAAATTTACCCCTGACTTTAGAAATAGTTGCAACAGGATTCAAAAAACAAATGGTTTGTATGGAAACAGTTTTCTTATTATTTCCTCACTTTATTTACAGATCATACTAATTTCACAATCTCAAAGGAAGGAGAAAGTAAATATTGATACACTGCCATACGGGGAATTCCTGAACTTTTGTAGTTGAGCATGATTTATTTGAAAGTTGGGCAGTGATTTTTAAACGTGTTATGAATCAAAGGAGTGTAAACATTCGCATCCAGCTACATTAAATGATTTTCAAAAATGCCATTAAATCGATTTCTTTCCATTTCTATATGTTTATTAAGTTTTATGTTTGTTTTCTTCTAATGTAAACAGTGACAACATAACTTCAAAAAAACAGAGTTGTACTATCAAGTCTAAATAGTTTTTCCAGCATATTCTAACWTTAAAGTGAAGCTCTAAGAAAAGACTATATTACCTTTTCTGTAACTGTTTTACCTCGAACCAACTAACCCAATTTACATCGAGTTTGCTTTATTTATTGTATTACACTTCAGGGTGGAGAGTTTTGAATTTAGACCTAATAAAAGTTATTTAAAATACAGCTTACATTGGATAAATAAATTAATGTAAGATAAATGTTTCAAAGGGACCTCTGTGTGTTTCAGACCTCTGGACTACCAGAGATTCAGAAGCACAACACTAGATCTCTCATCACAAACACAGCAAGGCTGGAACAAGGTGAGTCAGCTGCTGCCCTGATTAAAAAAAAAAAAAAACTCAACTTGTGCAAAAAGTGTTGAACATTTCAGATGTTTTCCCCTCTATAAGCTTGACAACTCTGCCTTTATCTCACCACCACCAGGCGTTCGTGCCTCTGGTGCTGCTCCAGGCTTTACTACACGAGGACCAACCTTTGACAACACTTTTACAACTGGGGCTGCGCTGCCTGGAGGAGGAAGAGGCTGCCTGCATCATCCAGCAAGGAGGATGGGTGAGTTTGTCCTTTTTGACAAAGTGCAACTCTTGCATTTTATTTATCACCTGGAAATTAAAAAAAAAAAAAAAGAGGCACCGTCTTAGAAGGATAAGCCCCCGCACATTGTACAGGGAAGACCCACGAGTGGCTAGGAAAAAATGTCTAAAAGCTGCTGTGGAGCTTCTGCTCATGGCAGCAGATCAAAAGATTTTGAGAACTAGTGCAAAACAAATAAGACAGTTTGGTACATAACAGCAAAAACTGTGTTCTGTTCCAAATATAAATTCTGGTGAGCGACAAATAATAGATCCTGTTGGACTTTATTGTCCACACTAAAAAAAAACTGGTGGCGTCTATCACAAGTACAGATTTCTAAATATACACATGAGGGCACCAAAGAGCAACAACAGCAATGTCCCTTACCAATCAGACCTTTGTTTGAACGCCTGGCTTTTCTTTTTCAAATGTTTTATTGCATTTAAAACAGGAAAAATGACTAAATGTTTTATTGATTTGTTTAGCAGGTTAAAGAATATTAAAAACAAAGAAGTTCTGCTTTAATGGAAATGTGGCTTATAGTATTTTAAGTAGACTAGAAAAGCCCTTTTAAAAATACAGTTTATAAATTAATGATATTTAACTGTGCATCAGTGTTTTTATGCTTTGAATKTGTTAAAAATCTAAAACATCTCATTTATTTTTAACCAAAACTTAAAAAAAACATAAATGAACTGTGCCTTTTTAAAAAATGTTTGTTTAAATATTTAACAAATATTTTTAACTGAATGGACAAATCGAGGCTTAAAGTAGAGATGGGTTGAATATTTTTTCCTTCTTGTCCACATGATTCACACTGTTTCATGCATTGACATARACTCACTTAGTTGTAACTTTTACAGTCTGGAATAATTTTATTCCACATTGTTATAATAAGTAGAGCGCCGCCTGCAGCTGCTCCCCTTTAAATGAGGTCATACTGATGAGGAGTCACATGACTTGACATGTTAACCGTTGCACTTGTCGCCATCACCTCACGCTATTCTTCCTGGTTTWATGCAACGAAATGCGAACACAGCACACTGGCTCTAAACAAAGCCACATCTATGCTCGGCGTTATGTCACAGAAGATGGACAGAAAAGGAGCGATGGAGGGATGAAGTGAAAGGAGGGAGGGAGGGAAAGTCCATGAGGAGGTTGTGATAGGCAGGAAGGARAAACAAAGCAGGGGAGGGGTGAGAGATCAGAGCGTTGGAGGATGTGCACCGCGGCCAGGAAGAGCAAAGTTATACTTATTACTTTGACAGCTGCACGCTTTCCACAAACGGGCTTTCTACCTCCATACCATCTGGACCACTTGCTTGTCTGTTTGACTTTTTAAAGCTTTGTGCTTTCAAGTGTAAACCGGCGCTTTCAAAACTTCGCACCGAGGTAGGATGTTTTCCTTTGGAACARCACAAACAGGAACTCATTCGTCCTGATGTGACAAATTCTTAGATGCTGAATAGATCTGTCCTCACCGGCAACATGGCGACCTCTTTAAACGAAGCTGCAGTTGCACAGAAATGCTGCTCACGATTGTTGTCATAGTGTTTGGCGGCACARTGTTCAATCTGTTTATTTGCCATCGTTTTAGCAGAAGTTGTGATTATTTTTCTGAAAATAGACGTTACATTCGTCGTCTTAATTTTCAGGACATTAATCCAACGAAGGTACAAACAATGTCGCGATTATTTCGGTTACAGCAAAAAGAGTAAGGATTGTTGTGTCCCTAATGCGATGTACACTCCATTTGTCAGGAACAAAGRCACTTGCCCTCAGTTGGTTTGCAGCCTGGGGCGGATAGGAGTTCAGGATTAATCAAGTGTGAYGGAGTAAATGAAGAGAATTCAATTAAAAAGAAAWACCTCCGCRGTGAAAGAGGTGGTTGACCTATCATGCTACAGAATCAGACGTCTGTCCTGACAGTGAAAACTGCTGAAGTGGGTGTTGACTTCAGCCGTTTTTATCTTGCTGCTCTTGTGAGTTTCAATTAACATGAGTCCTGAAATTTGAAAGTCCTTTCGCTGCGGCAAGGAGAAAAAGAGATAATGACAAAAACACTTCATTGTACGCCACAGACTTAATTGTACGTAGATAGTCAAAGTATTATATCTTAAAAGGCAATAAAACCTTTCTGTAGTCCTGTTTTACATTGGTAGAAGCAGATATGGCTTTGAGGTTGTGATGCTTCAGCAGTGTATTTTAAGTAAAAGATGGTGGAAGGGTCCAGGCCCTGTCAGATTGCATCCTGTGCAGTAAAACAGTGCGCCCTGAGTTACATAAGTACCCGCTYACCAGCTCCAGGGTGAAATATCAGCATCACTTTGTACCAGCATAGGCCTGGACCACAGCACAGTGCCTGTGTGTTTTTACAGATTTAATCTATGAAAGCTCTTAAATTAATTAATTATAATAAACCTTTTAAGAGCCTTCTGCTGCAGCTCGTTCAACATCAGATTCTGTGAATACCGATAGATCGAGCATCTATTCGTCTTCTGCTGTCCTCCATGAGTTGAACTGTTACACAACCTTATTAATGACCAATACAACAATATTTACTGATTATTTACTGACTTGATTATTTCATGTTTAATAAATGTATAAAAATCCAAGGTTGTCAAAATGTAATTCTTTGTAATTTTTCTCTTAACATAAYTCTTTCCATCCTAAACTCAAAAGATACAATTGGAGTTGAGATCCTGTTTGCGTCTCAGAATATAAAAGAAATTAGACCTGGTTTTGTAGCGTGATAAATTGATTCAGCAAGAACTTTGATTTTTCTTTTCTCATTGTGCAGTCTGGCAGTGCAAATTGATTGCGTTAGAGTCGGTGAGCATTACTTTGATCAAAATATTCCCAGAAAGAAATATCAATAGTTTATGACGGACTGATTTATTTTTGTATTTAAACTTGATAAAACTGTGTTAATTTGTGTTAAAGATGTGGACAAGTGACTTTTTATAAAACCCTAGCCCTAGCAGGGGATGTAAACTATTTGTCAACCCTGCGCTAATTTGACAAGTACTTGAAAAGTCTCAGGTTTTATTTCTGTTGTGTTTCCTCTTAAAGGTTTTGTTGTGTGGCAATATGGGCCAACGTTGGTTCTTGATTAGTTTTAGGATCAGTCTGCAGCTGCTCTTGCTCAATGACAGTGAAGAGGAAATATAGACATGTTGCACACCTTTTGGCTCCACAACAAGAATCTGCRTTAGTTTTTTTTTCATGGATTCTGCTTGTCTTGGGGCAAGGGTGGAGAACTAAAGCTGCCAGGAAAACAACACTTGGGTTGGTGTTTCTCAGCTTTAGCTTTGTTGACGTGCGGCATGAAATGTTGAAGCAAGAACAAATCTGCAGGGAGCAAATTTTTAGGTAAATATTTGTTTCTTCATATTTTAAAATTGTTCATATACAATATTTAGCTTTTCCTGCTCTTAATTTTGTAGTGCAACTGATTAAAGTTGTTTTGATTAATAGCTAGTGGCTGTTTAATGTTGAAGCGTTACGTTTGTTTGAACACATTTAACAAGCCGTTGCTGTAGTTTTCATGATGTGGCAACCCCGTAGACAGCAGCTGCATCTAAAGGGTGGAGGATTTTATGAAAAAACTCCTGTTCCACATTCAAATCAGCTTATGGAGAATCCGAGTGTTGGATAACGATGGAGCGCCATTAGATTTAATCTCTTTCCTTCTAAAAAAAAAATGCAGCTGTCACGCACGTCACAGACTGTGGAAAATAACCTTCAAAGCTTTATGGTTGTTCAGAAATGATCCTTAAATGATTTTTGAATAATTCCCGTTTTATGTCATGAAGAAAATGTGAATTAATTCTTATGTTAAATAAGTGGGCTGCAGTGGACATTTACCTCTGCTGTCAGAATCACTTTGTTGTTTATGCAAACTCATTCCCCGTTCCTGTTAGATGAGCACCTCTGTGCCATCTGCCTGTTTGCATCTTATTTGTTTATCTAATGTGCAGAACAACAAGAATGCTTCACCTCGAGCGTCGCTCTCATTACCTGTTAAATCTTTCTCATGTCCACCCAGGTGTCAGTTTTTTATTCTGCTTCTACAAGATACACTTGATTGAAAAATGTGATTTGAGCWATGCAGCAGAGGTAATTTGTCTCCTAAAATAAGTAAATACATAAATATTCACTCTCAGTATTTACCAGTTTCTGGTGATGCCAAAAATTGTTGACATTCATGATCTCAGGAGGTTAAATTCTTTCTAAAGTCTTTAGTTCACCTGTTCTGTCATAAAGCTGGTAGTTCCTGTTATTTTGTCACAACAAACTGTTAAAAGAAAGAAACATGTAGTCTATGATTCAGGGATGTTGCTGTGTTTGGATTTAACAGCCTAAACGCGTCATCATTGTCCAGCATCATCAAATCTATTTTTAGGCACAAGCTTTTTATTCAGCATTACATCACATACTTAAAAAAACTGAACAAGCTTCCTGTTTATGCTAAATATCCAGTCCGTTTTGTTAAAGTTGACAAAACACCAGCTTTAAATACATATTTTGACATTTTAATACCTGCAGTTTAAACATGTCTTCAGCAGTTCACAACATAACAAAACATTTACTTTAATTTATTTCACTCTACCGAGTTCTTTTATGTAATTTGCTCCTCACACGACACGAGTTGTTGCATAATAAAAGAGGCATCTGGGTAAAATCAAATTTGATCACTAGGTGGCAGAGACATTCATCTTTTTTTGAATGATGTGCTTTGTAAAGTTAGTGTTTGTGACGTTATTTTCTTATGAATTCATAAATATTTTTACATAAATTTATTAACCTCCCTCTGAAATAAAATGTGTTAAATTTTTCTTCAAATTGTACCAATAAATATGGAATCTGGGATAAAACTCCTTATAATGTATAAAAATATCACCCRAAGAAGTCAAGGTTTCCATACTAAAAACACTTTTTACTTTTTTGTTCATGTTTAATAATTTTATCTTCATTTCTGTCCAACAGGGTGAAGTATTAGGCCTTGTTCCAGAGGACAAGTGCGGTTTGGCCATCGCTGAAGACAGCAACGACATTTGCATCATCCCAGAGGAGCAGCCCAGCCCTCCCTCATCGCTGCTCTGCACAGGAGACAACGGCAGCGACCAGAGCTCCTGGCAGACAGAAAGCTTACCCGTGTCTCTGGCCGGCCACGAATCCTGGGCACAAGTCGTTGCAATGGACCCCGAGGACGTGAAGAGCCTGGACAGCAACGAGGGCGCGGCTTTAGCCGAGGAGCGCAGCGAAAACAACTCCTCCAACTCGGACATCGTCCACGTGGAGCGTGAAGACACGGAGCTGCTGGAGGAGGCCGGGGTGACGGAAGAAAGCATGATTAGTGTTTTAGGCACGGAGAGCGAGCTGGCCGAGCTCAGGGACGAATTTGGGGACCAAACAGTTGTGTCAGCATCAGCCGGGGCAGACTCCGCCCCTCCTGCCTCCCTGATTTCATTAGAGGAGCCAGTTGTCATTGAGACACCTGCAAGCTTGTCTGAAGAAGCTTCTCTCATCTCTTCAGAACCAGAGCTACTTCCCCCTGTCCCAAATCCAGCTGAGTCTGAACCTCCAGCACCTCTGCCTGTTCCTGCAGTAGAACCAGAGCCTGAGCCAGAATCAGCTGCTGCCCCGGTGCTTTCCAGAGTGGAAATCCCAGCTCCAGCCAAAGAAGTCACCACGGCACCAGCAGAGCCTGAAGCCCCACCAGAACCAGCTGCTGGTGCACAGCAGGACACGGAGCCCGTCACAGTGCCTCGCCAGCTAGAAGCAGAAGCTGCAGCTGAGCCAGACACCCCAGTGACTGCACCTGAAACCTCAGAGCCCCCAGCTGTGAAGACCACTGTGGCGTCTGCTGAAACCCCAGCTGAGGAGGCTCCTGTAGCTCCTGTAGAAGCCCCAGCTGAGGAGGCTCCTGTAGCTCCTGTAGAAGCCCASGCTCAGGAGACCTCTGTAGCAGCCCCAGCTGAGGAGGCTCCAGTGCAGCCGGAGCCAGATTCAAAATTACAAGCCCTGCTTTATGGAGGCGCTGCCCTGGTGCTACTTGCTGCTGCTTTATCACTTAGTATTATTCTCTTAAGGAGGAGGTAGAAACAGGCATCATCATGGTGAAAGAAAACACAAATTAAAATAMTTCAGTAGAAATATAGTTTATTATTGACCCGTACAGACTGTACTGAATTTATCTAATTTCAAATTTTCAGAAAGTGTAAACTCAAAAGTGCCCCTAAGCTGACAAAAATGTACCAATAATCMCATCTACATTATTGCTGGAATGTGACATTACTTTAATCCAGCTGCTGCAGACACAGAGGAAGACACGCCCCTCCACTGTAATGTTTAATTTCCTCTCTTTCTGTCTGACTTCACTTTGAGTTGTTCTTTAAATCCACCCACGTTTCTTATAGAAAGTTATTTTTATACATTATTGCTCATGGCTACACAAAACAAGTTCCAGTTTCTATGCAGAGAAATGAAATTGAAATTTAGCCTAAATTTGATTATGATTTCTAAAACCAAGTGTATAATATTTTAAATTTTAGTTTAATGTTAAACTGCTTGAGAGCAACTGAGCTTTTCTCTTCATGTTACAAAGTGTACATGGGATATGTATTGTTGTACATGYGAGATGTTTTTTTGTGAATTCAAACATTGAAYATTTTGCCTGAGGATAAATGAAAATGGGTCAAAATAWAAGCTTTTTCTTGTGTGTTCTATAAACATATACAGGTCACTCACATATACATTGAAAATGTTTTAAGTTGCCGTAATCTACACCTTAAAAACTCAATACATCAGATAACTTATCCCACTGGAGTTTCACTTCATGCCATAAAACTTAAGTTTTCTTTGTTATCTTTTCAAAAATATCATCCATAGATTATGCTATGTGGGCAAAAATCAGTTGCAAAAAAGCCCAACTCAAAAATGGACATTTTTCTTCCATGTGCACCTCTACTTCTGCACRCAAAGCATTTATTTATTCATGAGTATTTAGGAGCTCTGGTTTGCTTTGCACTTCTTTTCCAAACTTTACATTTTCTTTTTTGAAAAATAAGGAAGCTGCTCTGTGGTGTTAAAGGCTCACTAATAATCCTTGTGACAAAGCTGCAGTAAGCAGGGTGATTTTACAAACCGCCAAGTTGTGAGAAAAAACGGTTTCTGTATATTCAAAGCAAGCTTTGAAGTACTGTAGTTAAAGTTTTACGAGTAGTACAGGATATTCAGTCAAAATATTCCAAGCTTACAACCTGCAGCAGTTTGTCTTACCAATAAACCAGATCTGATTTATTCAAAATGAAACTAGAAGTACAAAACTGAACAGAAGAGGGTTCCAAACACAGTACTTGTACGTTAAACCTAAAATCATAAAAGTACTCATGTGATTCTCCACTTGTAGTTTATTAACCTTGAAAGCATACAGTTAATGCATCCGAAGTCTGAATATTAACAATTCTGAGAAACCATTTTAATTTACAATGTAACACTGGGTTGTATGTTCCAAAATCAAAACAATACAAAAYGATCATGTAATTCAAGCATATAGTGGATACATGCACTTCAATGAACGGAGGAGGAATGATGGTTAAAGTACGTAAAAAAAAAGAATTCAAGTTTTCAGTTCCCTATTTTCATAACGGGACCATCAACTTAAAGTTTATTTTCAGTCATGAATAATTTCCAAAGCATTCAATTAATGCATCTGAAGTCTGAATATTAACAATTCTGAGAAACCATTTTAAGTTACAATGTAATAAACACAGGGTTGTATATTCCAAAATCAAAACAATACAAAATGATCATGTAATTCAAGCATATAGTGGATACATGCACTTCAATGAACGGAGGAGGAATGATGGTTAAAGTACGTAAAATTAAAAAAAAGAATTCAAGTCTCAATTTTCAGTTCCCTATTTTCACAACAGAACCGTAAACTTAAAAGTTTTTCAGTTATGAATAATTTCCTGATGGCTGTTGGACTGCAACAGCTTCTGTCACAGTTGGCTAGTCCTGAGCAGCAAGTTTCTCGCTAATTTCCTTTGAACTGCCTATCAGGCAATTCCCCATAATTTCTTCAGAATTTTCTGTGGCTCAGTCAGTCACCTGGTCCCCGCACTGCAGACGAACTGATGCACGGTGGTGAAGAGGCTTCTGATCAGCTGCGGGGCCTGGATGCAAACTCCCTTCATCAGTGTGAGGGAGAGGGCGATGATGACTCGCTCCTGGGGGAGGTGCTCCAGGGCCATTCCTTGTCTCAACAGCCAGTCCACCTCATACTGGAGGCAATACTTCCATTGCTGGAAAGCAGAAACAAAAACAGAAGACAGGTCAATCACCTGCTGCCTGTGGTAACATAATGACCCCCGCACGCACAAATGCACCAGAACTCAGGAGTCTTTATTCCAAATAAATGTCATGCTACATCTACAGCCTTGCCTAATTTCATGTTGATCGGTGCAGCCGTTTTTGTGCAACGGTTGACCAAAAATCACTGAACTAAATAAATAAATAAACAAGCAGTACGAAAACAATATCACTCCCGCTTACGCTTCGCGTGCGGGGGTCATGATAATGAAATTGTAGCCAATTGGGTCCAATGTGGAGGTGGGTGAAAAGTTCGACCCGCGGGTTGCCACAAGAAGTGCCAAAATGTCGACAATGCAAACAGAATGACACAATTCCCATCATGAAGCTGCGACAGTTCAGCACGATTTCAGCAGTTCGGCTGCAGCCTGYTGGAGCCTTAACTAACAGATGAACATCTTTTTGTCCCGTATTATAGAAAAAGACGGGTCTCTGCTTAGCGTTACCCCCCTCCCAAAAAATCTGCTATGTTCCCGCTTAGGGCTGCCACAAACGATTATTTTAATAATCGATTAATCACAGATTACTTATCCGATTAGTCGACTAATC